TGGGAGAGCTGGGTGAGCCCTCTCAGCTTTCCATACGGCGAGCTGGTGCGGACAGTCTCGATTCGTTGAGTTGATTTGTTTTTGTCGTAAAATCTCAACGGAAAGTCCGATTGAGACAAAACGGGAAGCTGTACGATTAAGACTAGAGAGGGAAGCTCGAGGAATGGCTCAGGTCGCCATAGGGCGAACTGGGAGGTGAGAACTCTTGGGGAAAGTCAGCGCCTCTTGGGCGAGCTGGGCGCTTGGTTCAGCTCTACGTTCGGCGAGCTGAGCCAGCTGGGTTGCTCTACGTTCAGCGAGCTGAGCCAGCTGGGTTTAGCTCTACGTTCGGCGAGCTAAGACACTTGGTTTAGCTCTACGTTCGGCGAGCTAAGACGCTTGGCGCAGGTGAACTCGATTCGTCGAGTTGACTTGTTTTCGTCGTAGAATCTTAACGGAAAGTCTGATTGAGACGAAACGAAAAGCTGTACGATCGAGATTGGAATAGGATCAGGCTTAGGATCCCGAGAATCATGTCCAACTCGCTATTTGGCGAGCTGGTCAAACCTACACACGTTGAGATTTCTCCGATTTGGTTACGGGTTTTGATTGGTTTTATCGTTGCCCTTTTATTTTTAACGGAGAAATCACGAGCTCGTTTTGTGCTCTTTCCGTGGTGAAGAGTCGCGATTAAGTTTTCGATTTTATTAATAACTACAGCGTTTGCGTGAGCGTTAGCTATAGGAGCAGTCGCTGCTAGAGTTGTTTTACCAGCGTTTTTGCGAGTTGCGACTTTGTCTTTCATATATCCAGACATCGTTTTGATCAAGCGTTTTGCGGCTATGAGTACGAGTAATTCGACCCCCCCTCCTTCTAGCGCTAAACTGTGGGAACCGAAATTCACACTTGTCGATTCCCGTTAAATAAGGAAACTTAGGAATACACTAATTTTCCAGAGGAACCGGATCTCTGCAAAAGCCAACGACAAGTAACCAAATAAATGCGGAAAAATATGAAAAACGTAACAAAACGAATTTATAGAGAAAGTTGATCTTATTTCCGATTCGCGTAAGAGCGTTGCGATTATTACAGGGAATTATAAAGGATTCGGCCGCAAGGGCAATCAGCGAGTTGCAGCTTGATAACAAAAGATGGAAAAAGATAAGAAAAAGGATTTGATTGATTTCGGACTGAACCTTACGAAAGGCTGCCTACGTACCCCTTTCGAGGATCAAGTCGAACGTAGTTCAGTTGATTGAGCTGGACCAGAGATCGAACTGCCTTGGCGAGTTCGTCTAGTAATTGAGCGCCGGTCATAGAAACCGAACTTGTCGAGAAAACATTTATCTCAAGTTTGACATTTATCTTCTTTCTGCTAGTAAATCGCCAAAACGTCGTCGTATCTTCGGGTTGGACTTCGTTTAAAGTCGCGAGTGGCTTTTATCGCGTTTTAGGACTTTCCGAGCCGTTTTGCGATAAATCCGTTTTACGACTTTAGACGAGATCGTTTCCTGATACGATGCTGTTTTTAGATAAGTTTCTCGAGTTAATCGTAAAGTTAGGCAATGTTCGATGTTTCGATTAATCGTTGCCGTTTTCTACGATTTACTCGGGCTTTTATTAAAAATGCGTTTTGTACGATTTTTACAAAAAATCCCGAATAAATCGTATAGTTTAGGCAATATTCGGTGTTTCGTTTAACCGTTGCCGTTTTATACGATTTCCTCGAGTTCTTTTCGAGAAAAACAAAGTTTTACGGTTTTTATCGTAAAACTCGAACGATAGGACGGATCGAGATGAAACGGGAGACATTTCGGCCGTGATTCGGAATACGATCGTGTCAAAGGACGTATGCCTTGAATCAAGGATGTGGGAGATCGAGGTTCGGGATGGTCGGCTCGATGTACGGCAAGCTAGTTCAGCTTGGCGAGGTCGCCGTATGGCGAACTAGGCGATCAGAACCCTTGGGGCAAAGTCAGCGCCTCTTGGGCAAGCTATGGAAGCTTCTAACCCGCCCAACGGCGAGCTAGTTGGGACAAGACTAGCTCGCCGTTGGGCGAACTAGTCGGGACGAAGCTAGCTCGCCCAACGGCAAGCTCGGGACGAGGCTAGCCGGCTTAGCTCGCCGTTGGGCGAGCTAGTCGTGACGTGACTAGCTCGCGTTTTACGACGGTTTCGGTTTTTTCGCGGTTTTGTGCTTAACTCGGACGATCGTGTAATCGACGTTTGTTTCGTTTTTTTGAGATAACGATCTTCCGAGTTTTCCGCGGATTTCCTTTGTTCGGAAATCTCTTTGGATTTATAAAACGATTTCTCGAGTTTTGTAAAACGATTTATCGAGTTTTATAAAACGATTTATCGAGTTTTATAAAACGATTTATCTAGTTTTATAAAACGATTTCTCGAGTTTTATAAAACGATTTCTCGAGTTGTATAAAACGATTTCTCAAGTCTTATAAAACGATTTCTCGAGTCTTATAAAACGATTTCTCGAGTTTTATAAAATGACTTCTCGAGTTTTATAAAACGATTCTTCGAGTTTCATAAAACGATTTCTCGAGTTTTATAAAAGGACTTCTCGAGTTTTATAAAACGATTCTTCGAGTTTTATAAAACGATTTCTCGAGTTTTATAAAACGATTTCTCGAGTTTTATAAAACGGCTTCTCGAGTTTAATAAAACAACTTCTCGAGTTTTATAAAACAATTCCTCGATCTCTAAAGTTTTATAAAATGATTTCTTGAGTTTTATAAAACGATCTCTCGAGTTTTATAAAACGGAAACTTCTTTTATAAGACGATTTCGCGAGTTTTATAAAACGATTTCTCGAGTTTTATAAAATGATCTCTCGAGTTTTATAAAACGGAATCTTCTTTTATAAAACGATTTCTCGACTTTTATAAAACGATCTCTCAAGTTTTATAAAACGTATTTTTATTTTTACTTTTGCGGAGAATTTTAGCCATTGATTCCGTCGTGGCCGATTTTGACACCAACACTGAGTATCATTATCACGCGTATCGATAAAATCAAAAGAAGAAAAGGAAACTTACTACGGCGAGCACCCTCTGGACGAACCGGATTTGCCAAACCAATGGGTTTGGAGCAACCGCGTCCCGGAGGAATAGAGAGAGCAGATCGAATACGATCCACAGTGAAAGTAAACCAACGAGTTTGACCTCAACGCAAAGTCTCCATCAAACCTCGAAGCTCGGGAGTCATCGAAGCGCTCCCAAAAAGCTCTGTACAAAAGAAATAAGAGCCTCAAAGAGGGGTTACAAAAAACGAGCTTAATTCCCATAGGAACAAGAAAACGAACATATATCCTTTAACCAGTCCCAATGAATTCGATTGAAGTCAAAATCACTAATCAAAGCCAGAATTATCTTGAGTACAAAGAATTTCTCTGTCCATCAATATCACGGTTGGGAATACCCTCGATGATAGTGCGACCATTACTAGGTGAAAGAAGCATAGTGCCAGGAAAAAGCGTGTTGTTCTTAACCACACAAATCTGCCTCAACTCCTCTAAGCTGATTCTAATACCCTCTTCATGGGCTCGAACCCGCAAGTCCAGAAAATAGCGAAGGAATTTAGGTCACATACAAGTGAAATCCATCTCCATCTTTTCAAGATCCTCGATGAGAAATGAAGGAAGTGGAAATGACATACCACAGTCCCGAAAGTGTGTCAAGTAAGCCCCGTAATATCCAGGTCGGGCAGTGTCTGGGTTTCACCAACTTCCACAATATCGAGTTCCACGCTATAAGGAATTCTCCAAAAATTGTAGATGCCTTCGATATCTTTTCGCATAAGAATCGAAAGAAGAGGAGGACCGAATCTCTCGTTTGCCATTTGGTTTGTCAAGAACAGAAATCGAAGTAAAGAAAATATTTATGGAAGCTATGAAGGTTAGCTTTCTTAACGAAGAATATGACCTATTTAATAAAACTTGAAAACGGTTCCAAAAGTAGATAACATCGACAATCAATCTCAGCCACACGATGCGAGGAAGTGGCCGACAAGAGCGTGATGCCACCGGGATACGTGACAGCGTCGGATAGTTGATTAACGGTTCGCCTTTTCAGTTTCCCAAACGAAAAAGGCTGGGAGGCAAATGTTAGGCCCAAAATCGGGCCCATTAATTTCAGTAGTACGAGGTCCATCATGAGATAAAGATAACTATTGGGAAAATGAGCCCATGAAGAACCCATCAAGTAAGGCAAGAATAAATGTTGGACCCAATGTTCGTAGGAATTTCACCCATACGTTATCACCATCAACTCGATTAAATCAGGCACAACTCGAACTACTACATCGAAGATCGCGGAAACAGTTAGAGGAGAAGGAGACTATTAAAGAGGAGCTAGAACGGAGTATAAGCAACACAAAAAACCCTAGAGAAAATCATTATTCTCATCGACTTCACTCTTTAGCATTTAGTTCGCATATAGTTTCGATCTTTCTTTGTTGTTCTCGATCTCGATTATTACTTTGTACTAAATATCATATTCAATAAAGTCCATTTTTGTCAACAAAATTCTGATTGTATCGTTTTGTTTAAAGAGCATCGTTGCCCACATCATTTCGTTTTCTCCAGATTAAACTCTTGATCACTACAAAATACTTAGTGTGGATTTTAGGATCTACAACGGTGTTCCCATCCATTTGTGAAGGAAGGTCAGAAGGGATTGAAGACAAAAGGAAGAAAGGAAGCCGGAGTTGTTTCATGTTTTGTTGATGTTTCATGTCTGATTATTTTGCAAAACTCTATGCTTTTCGGTTTGTCGAAGTTTGAAACTATAATTTTCTTGATGTTACAATTACAGTTACAATTTTAATTTGAAATTCATTTTCGAGATGTTGCAAATTCATGTTATCGTGAATCACAAAATATAGAAACGGAAGTTTGGAATTTTACAAGTCTTAGACAACCACAAAATAAAGACTTGTAAGCCTATCCGCCGAAACAAAAAGACAGACAACAAAACACTTAAACAAGTTCTGACAATCCCAAACACTTAAAGATAAATTTCTTCAAACTCTCTACCAATCTCATCTTCATTTTTTTCATCCACTGTCTCTTTGTTCTCGAAATTGCTTTTCATTTTTGAGATGGTTTGAGTTATCTGCTCAATCACTGTAGTCTTTTCTCGAATCTCATCACGGGCGTAAAAAAAGCTTGTTTTTGCCAATTTGTACCGTCATCTTCATCAAACCAAGAGAAGTAATTGCATCCACTGGGAAAATGCAGACAGCCATAAAATTGTCGACATGGGTTTCTGTCAGTCCAACCTTGTGTTATACTCGCCGGGAAGCCACAAATACAGAATCTCCGACTAGAATTTCGCCTCCTCATCGACGATCCTGAAGCCACTTCCGTCTTAACTTTCTCCATCTTCACTTTTTGTATCTTAGAATAAGAGAAGAGAGGGAGGTATAGGGCAAGGGAAGGTAACAATAGAGAAGAGAAGAGAAGGGAAGAGAAGAGAGAAGGAGAGATGTAATAGGTGTGGGGTCAGTAGATTCGGGAATTGTACCAGTTTGACTCACGGAATTGGAAGAGAGATGTTGTGTGGTTAATATGAGATTAAGTGTTTGGATAAGATATTTTAGAACACATGTTTAAGCAGCAAAAAAAAATCATTTCCCTCCTGTAATTTGATCTTAGTTATACCGAAGATACAGGTGTGTTTTTAGTTATACTGAAGATAATGAGATGTTGTGTGTTCTCATTTATTTAGTGTTACTGATCCTAAAGAGATGTTGGAAATGATATTGATAGGGAAGTACCTCAAAAATCAAATCCAAACCATAAACAGTCAAATCGAAACCATAAATGAGACCATAAATCAAAGAGAGAGATGTTGTGTGTTCTCATCTATTTAGTACATCGTCCTGCACATAAATATCAAACTGAAACCACAAACAATTAACTCGAAATCATAAACAATCAAATCGAAACTTGAATTGATAGGGAAGTACCTCAAACTTGTCACATGTGAAGAATTTCTTTCCAGACAGCATATCAAACTTTTTGTCCGCAGTAACCTCGTCGACCATTCTTCCCCCACAAGGACACCTGTTCGGGGTCCCGTAATGGGCGTCGTTGATGAACATTCGCATGTCATTTTCTCTCTTCGCTACCTTCATCATCATGTACTCCTCGTTTGGATGCATCATAGTAGGTCTGTAGAGAGAGAGAGAGAGAGAGAGAGAGAGAGAGAGAGAGAGAGAGAGAGAGAGAGAGAGAGAGAGAGAGAGAGAGACTCTGTGTGTGTGTGTGTTTCGGAGGAGAAAGATTGATAAGAAAAATTGAAGGTACTTTCAATGTTGTGTGGTTAGATTGGAAATAGAGAATTTTTTTTTTAATTGTTTATGCGCCAAAATAAATTTCATTTCCCTCTTAATACTTGTTCTTAGTTATAAAGAGGATACTAGTGTTACAAAATTTGGTCATAGTTCTATTTTTGCTGGTTTCTAATTTAATTAGTGTTATTAATTTTTTAAATTTGTCTTTTTTTAGTTTTACTTTCGATTTTAGTATTTCAAAATGTAAGTTATATTGTTATGTACAATAATATATGCGTAATAGATATAACTCAAAAAATTCATTTGCAAAAAATTCTTCATTGAAAAGTGTAATTGGAATTATAAGGTTTCATAATGGATATATCACGAGTTTGAAGAAAATTTCAAAAACGTGATGACCGAGTTTTGTTAGAATTATAAATTATAGTAGAGAAAACAAATATAAAACCATCACAACTGAGATTTGATATAGATAATATTATGATAAACGCGTTTTGATATAGATAATACTAATGTCATTAGAAAACAAAGTAAATAACAAAGTTTTACGCAGTTTTCTGAAGCATACAACACAAATAAACATATAACAGAGCTAAATGCATTACTCCTAAATCCAAATAACTAACTTCTAACATTTTTCCTTCCCTTCCGTGCGATGCGGTCCGGAGGCATGATCATCACCTCCTTGATGTAATATGGTACATTCCAAGAAGACCTGTCGGGCACAACATAAAGTGTTATGGAATATGCCATTGCCCACAGTTCCGACCACTAGTATTCTGAGCACAGGTCATGGATATGAAGGCGCCTGCCAACGTTTGTAGTGAAATATATGTAAGCAGCCAATCTGTGCAGACAAGAAAACTTTTCATAATCCCACACCTTGCAAGTACAACTTTTCCCAACTAAGCTCGCCGACAACATCTTTCCTTCAGTGTCGGTGATCTCGTACTCAAACTCATACTATCAAGCTCCCGCACAGGTAGCTTTTGTGCAACAGGCCATAGCTCGTGCAAGTAGTTCTCAACCAAAGACACCAGTTTGCTTGATTCCACACTGTTGCTTATCTTAAATGAATCGTAAGCAGAGTTGAAGTCAGCCTCCATATAATATTGCCCAGTTCCATGAATCTATGCCCGATTATATCCTTTTTGACGCTACTAGCATGCCCTTTCTTATTTTAGTTCAAATGCCATAAACAATGACCATGGTGAGCCTGTGGAAACTTGTTTGCTATAGCGGAGATAAGGATCCTATTTCTGTCCCTCATGAAAATCAGTTCAAAAGAGTTTGGTGTAACAGTTTTAAGCATCTCGAAAAACCAAGTCCAGCTAGTATCATTCTCTCAATCTAATACTGCAAACGCAAGTGGATAATCGTGACGATTAGGATCTTGAGCTTTCGCGAAGACTAGAACACCACCATATCCGTCATTCAGCCATGTCGCATCTACAACTATCACTTTCTTCATAACTGTAAACCCTTTAATGCCTGCTCCCAATGCTACGAAGAGGTACTTGAATTTAGATCTCTCATCCAATTTCACACAGGTTTTTTGTTCCCGGATTCACTTGCTCTAACATGTACAAATAGCTATACATCATCTTGTAGCTCTCTTCTGGACTACCAAGTATATCACAAACTGCCAGATTCTTTCTGCGCAACGATCTCACGTGATTGCTCATTGTACCCTGCCAAAAAAAGAATAAACACAAGAATCTACTACAGTTATTCAAAGTTCTACCAGTTGTTCCTAGTTTTCCAGTTATCCACAGTTATACTCGTTATTTCGAGTTTTCTAGTTATCCTACAATTATCAAAATTAGGTTTCAGTGTTTCCCCAGATCGATCTAGGTCTAGTTCTAGTCCCTATACACGATTCCCCTATACACTCTCATTCCACCACCAAAATGCATTAGGATAACAATTTTCAAACAAGACAATTCCGTTCTGATTCGTACTTCTAATCAGATCCCAATTAAAATCCACTAAAACTTACTCGAGTCAGTGAGCACAATTTACCAGCAACTCGACCGGCCCCAACAAAGATTGAGAACCTGTGAGTGGAGGAGGAGCTGAGGGTTCCAGAGCTGATCTGAGGGAGAAACGACGGGAAACTAGCAGATTCCGAAACCAAGAAGCGAAACCAGCTGTGGAAGAAGAGAAAGGAGTTCCGCTGAGCTAAGGGTTTTTGGGGGGGGGAGGAGGAATTCCGTTTCGGGATTGGATTTCAATTAGGAATTTCCATTTTAATTATTTATTCATAAAGATCATTCTTATATGTTTCAGCCAAACCGCAATCACCCAACCAATCAAAGGAAACCCGAAATACCAAACCACATTTCATTTTTTCAGTTGAGGGAACTTTCGTTAATTCACATTTAGTTAATGAGACAGGGGCTTAAGAGACTTCACAGACCCATAGGAGATAGCTCTATGAGATGGAGGGGCATGCAAGCCATTCTTTCGTAAAGTAAGCTTTTATATTTTTATGGGGCATCACATTTTTCTTATTACTCCCATTTTACAAATTTCTCGGTTTCTTTTGATTTATAATGAGTTTTTTTTTAACGTTGGATAATTATGCTATTACAAACTATGAGAAAATACTACAAAGGATTCTACAGTTGACCATTCTACCTGCCTTATAAGGATTCACGCCTACCTGCATCACCTTAACCACTTGTCATGTCCCCGATCCTGAGAAATGATCGTGGCCAAGCTCGATTAAGTGAATGATCAGAATGAAGCAAAGGAAGACTAAGTATAGGTCTAGGAATAGACCAATGGACTTAGAAAGATTGTACAAGATGAAGATATCAAGCTGTACGAAGTGTATCACAGCTGGGTGATGCGAGCAAGAAGCTCAACCAGCTGGACAGAGCTCAGTTGGAGCTCAAGTAGAGTGTGACAGCTCCCTGAGCTGGACTACTAGCTCACTCAGCTGGACCAGCTAGGGATCAGCTCATCATATCTGGACTGAGTGTNTCTGGACTGAGTGTTTGGGTTTTGGGCCGTTGGGTCAAGTCTGGGCAGTTACCGGGCTGGTTGGTAGGCCAGGGCTGGCTATGGGCCGATGGGCTGTTGTGGTCGGGCCATGGGCTTGGTTAACTAGTTTGGGCTTGGGTCTGATGTGTCTAGAAGTGGATGGACGTGCCTAGATGTGTCTGGAAACTTCCAAGATCCAGCAGATGCGATCTGGACCGTTGATTGTAATCGATGGCTAAGATCTGGTCCGAAAAGATGCTTGGAAGAGATGTGTCCTTTTGGACATGGCCTTTGGTTTCCTATATATAGGAGGGCCGACCAGAGATCAATACATTCAGTCTTAGACAATGGACACACGTCCTAAAGAGATCCCCCAATGATAAACGAGGATCCATAGGGATGCCACCAAAGGGTGCCATCTAGGGATGCCACCAAAGGGTGTCATCTAGGGATGCCACCAAAGGGTGCCATCTAGGGATGCCACCAAAGGGTGCCATCTAGGGATGCCACCAAAGGGTGCCATCTAGGGATGCCACCAAAGGGTGCCATCAAGGGATGCCACCAAAAGGTGCCATCAAGGAGTGTGATCCAAAGGGTACGAGTTGCCAAGAGTCATGAGTTACCAAAGGTTGTGAGTTACCAAAAGATGCGAGTAACCAAAAGGTACGAGATACCAAGGGTTGCGAGTAGCAAATGGTACGAGGACCTAAGAGGTACGAGCGTATCGTGACCTAAGAGGTACGAACGTATCGTGACCTAAGAGGTACGAACGTATCGGGACCTAAGAGGTACGAACGTATCGTGACCTAAGAGGTACGAACGTATCGTGACCTAAGAGGTACGAACGTATCGGGACCTAAGAGGTACGAACGTATCGGGACCTAAGAGGTACGAGCGTATCGTGACCTAAGAGGTACGAACGTATCGTGACCTAAGAGGTACGAACGTATCG